GGGTTTGAACCGCCAGCCTTCTGGTTAGCAGTCAAGTGCCTTAGGTACTACACCACCAGAACTCGCTACTTGCTCATGATACTAAATAAGTGATGGTATTCCTAGGCCATGACAGAGGCCTGGGAGGCAAGGATGGAGAGATGGAGGGATGGCTGGGTGGGCATGTGGGTGGGTGGGTGGAAGCACAGACAGGTCGGTGGACAGATGGGCAGGTAAGTGAATGGACACAGAGATGGATGGGTGGGTGAATGGGTGGACAGACAGATGGCTGATGTCAATATACAGTTGTTCAATTCTTGTAACGCTTGAGAGCCAGTGGTGCAGACAGCTGAGTGGGGAGAGGGTGAGGTGGTGGGTGAGGTAGTGAGTGCCCGGACCGGGCGGGGGGACAGGCAGCTCCTCCTGGGGTGGGGGCCCGGGTTCAAGGTCGACCTTCAACAGTCGAGCCTGAAGGGCTCAGCACGTGGTCGACTCTCCTCCGCCGTGTCCCGTAGACCGCCAGCTCAGGAGCCTGCAGGCATTGGAGTGTAGAGCGTGGGCAGAGAGTGGGACGGGCCTCCCTTGAAGGCGTGTCCGTGTAGTGAGTGCCCGGATGATGCGGTGGGGGAGGGCGGGAGCGCCTCATCTCTGCAGGCCCAGGGCGGCTGTGCGGCGTGCACGCACACACTGATGCGGCACTCGGGATGTAAAGCCAGCGAACCATGCCCAAGCTCCAGTGTCTGGGAGACCAGGCGGCGTGGCCGTTAGCAGCAGGAATGAGCTTCTTGGTGGGAAATGGAACGGGAATATTTAGGAATGATCGCAGGGCCGCGTGTCATCCTGCACAGAGATGTGCACCTTTGAAACCTCGCTCACACCTGTTCCTTCATTAGCCTGTGACTGTCAGCACTCGGCCGGCGCAGGCTCTGAGTCTCGTGTGAATACGGTGTTGTACACTGCGGTCGGCTCACGGATTGCTGGGGCCCAGGCTGCAGCCTGGCTGGAGTCTGCGGTGTGTGACACGCTTGGCTCCGGCATCACCCTCACTTCCCGTGACTCTGCTGGGATGCGTGTCTCCTCCCAGGTGGCTGCTCTTGTTCGGAGACCTCAGACCTGTGCTGATGAGAAAATCCCGCCCGCGGCATCGTGATCCCAGGCCCCGTGCGGGGTTCCTGCCGAACCACCTCCTTGTACTTTGTCTTACAAACATCTGTCTGGTGCTTACTGTGTGTGAGGCCCTGGCCGAATCACTTCATAGATAGTAATGTGATCAGTCCTCACAACAAACCTAGGATGTCGGCACCTTGGCTACCATCATTCTGCAGAGCAGGCACAGAGAGGTGGAGGCATCTGCGTAAAGTCACACAGCGAATCCAGGGGAAGACTTGCCCGGGGCCTAGCTCCCAACTCTGTGCTTTCTGCCCAGGGTGGCTTTGCTGCCTTGAGTCGCCATCTGCTCGGACAGCCCACCTCCGTGTCGACTCCACGGGCTCCAGGGGGGCTTCTCCCGTGTAAGGAGGGTGTTATCGGGCGCACACAGCGGCTGAGCGATCCCTGTGTGCAGCTCGGTGGCATCAGTGGCATCCTTGGAGTCGTGCGGCCAGCCTCGCCCTCCTCTGCCAAAGTGTTCCTCCCCTATGAGCGTGAACTCACCCCGTGTACAGCAGGGAGATGCTGCCCAGTCCGGGGCTGTCCTCACAGTCCTTGCTGTGTGTGAGCCCATCGTTGCAGCCACCGTGTCAGTCCGTCCTGCTGGGGGACTTCTTTTTCACGGCCCTTGTATTTTACCAAGCGTGATGTCCCTCTCCAGGGAATGGCCCCTTCTGACAACATGACCAAAGAACAAGAGACACCGTCTGGCCGTCCTCGCTTCTAAGGAGCGTTCTGGCGGCACTCCTTCCAGGACAGGCTTGCTCCCTGTCCTGGAGACCATGGCATTTTCCATATTCTTCACCGACACCGTAATTCAAGTGCATCAGTTCTCCAGTCTTCCTTACTCATGGGCCAGCTTTCACATGCACCTGAGGCGACTGAAAATGTCATGACTTGGGGCAGGCACGGCTTAGTCTTCAGAATCATATCTTTGCTCTTTAACACTTTAAAGACGTCTTTTGCAGCAGATCTGCCCATTGCAATACGTCATTTGATCTCCTGACTGCCGCTTCCATGGGGGTTGTTTGTGGATCAAAAGAAAATGAAATTCCTGACGACTTCAATCTCTTCTCCACTTCTTGTAATGTTCTTTATTGGTCCAATTGTGAGGATTTTTGTTTCCTTTAAGTTGCGATGTGCTCCAAACTGAAGGCTCTAGTCTTTGATCTTCATCAGTAAGCGCTCAAGTCCTCTTGGCTTTCAGCAAGCAGAGCTGTGTCGTCTGCAGATCATCGGTTGTTAATGAATCTTCCTCCAGTCCTGATTTCACGCTCTTTTTCATCTAGTCCAGCTCACTGCCATGGAGTCAGTTCTGACTCATAACAGCCCCCACTGGGTTTCCAAGGCTGTAAATCTTCACGGAAGCAGACTGCCTCATCTTTCTTCCATGGAGCTGCTGGGTTCAAACCACCGACCTTTTGGTTCACAGCCAAATGCCTTACGCGTTACACCACCAGGACGCCTTTTTCATATAGTCCAGGTTCTCACATTATTTGCTCAGCAAACAGTTTGAACAAGTATGGGCAAAGGCTACATACCAAGGTTTAAGTGAATGCAGTGTGTCTTTAAACTCACACTTACATCTGGTCATGCCCAGGCTCAGGTGAAACACCTGGCTGGCCCCCAGGCAGTCTCAGGAATGCTGGGTGCCGAGAGTGCGGACGGGTGGGCTGCGTGGGGCGCCGGAAGGGCCAGAGTTACTGCGGTGAGGTTGACCTCCGGCCGAGTTCCAGGAGGCGTGTCGTAGGGTTAGTGACGGGGTGCGTACGCAGGGCAGGGGCGGCACGGAGCAGACGGGTCCAGACATCACCAAAGATGATCCATCAGAAACCAGAGTAGAAACAGAGTGGTAGGAGTGGGATAGGGAAGAAGGAATGTTCCAGAAAATGCCCCCCCAACTTACAGCATCAGAGCTTGTTGGTCACTGCCCAGCAGGTCCTGACTCATGGCGACCCCCCGTATGTGGGTCAGAACTGCCGCACAGGCTTTTCAGGAAGTGGGTCTCCAGGCCTTTCCGCCCAAGCACCTCTGGATGGGTTCTCGCTGCTGACCTTTTGGCTAGTAGCCGAGCGCTTAACCCCCTGCACCACTGAGGGGACAGCCTCAGCTCCCTGTGTGACACCTGTGCCCCGGCCCTCAGATCTGACGAGCTCCTCTCGGACGGCCGTGAGCGTCCAAGTGCACGGGGCCGGGGGTCACTCGGCAGCCCCTCTGACAGGAACTCGTGTCCCGGCTTCTCCCACAGATGAAGGCTTGTGGGACATGTTTGTGAAGAACATTCCTCGGAGCGCCACGTCCCACACCATCCGCCTGGACGCGCTCAGGCACGGCGTGTCCTACGAGTTCCGTGTGGTGGCTGTCAACGCCGTGGGCTACGGGGAACCCAGCAGCCCCACCATGGCCGTGTCAGGTAGGAGGCCCTTGGGGCACAGGTCTGTCCCTCTCATGGGACCAGGACCCACCCAGAAAGGAAGAGGGGCCCAGCATCAGGAGGTGATGTAAGAATTTAAGCCCAAATCCGCCCAGAGTCAAAGCCAGTGGCCTTTCTGCTGCTGCCCTGGTGGTTAGAAGCCGCCTCCCTTGCTCCCCTCGTGGTGGGGGACACGGGGCGTGGGGTGGTAGGAGGTGCAGGGAGGAGGCCACAGGGACACCCAGCCCCCGCAACCAGCACGGCGCCACCTCACCGCGCTTCCCTGGCTCCCCGGGTCCTCCTCCCTGTCAGGCCTGGATTCCTGGGAGGGTGCTATGGGGCTGGGAAGAGACGGAGCCCGGCCCCACCTAGCAGCAGGATCTTTGATGCGGTGAAAATGTGTGAAACGGTTCACTCCAGATTAGCAAGGAAGCACAGGTCGGCCCATGCTTACCTTATTGGGCCATCCGACACCGCCTTCGAAGGAAAGGGTCACAGACACAAAGGCCCAGGGCTGCAAGGGTGGGGCACGGCTGGCCACGTGGCCCGCTGGTTCCCCAGATCGGTGAGGACTGGTTCTCCCCTGACCGCACCGCACCTGGGATCAGCTGGGACGTTCCAGTAGCAGCGAGGGCCCCACCTGATTGCAGTGAGCAGCGAGGCTCCCGGCCCCTGACTGCTGGGTTTGGGGCGTTTTTATGTGAAGCACACGCACCCCAGGGCTCTGTGCGGTCGGCCCTGTGCACGCGGCGCATGTTGTAAGCCTGCCTGTGCTGACCACCCAGAGTCTGCTTCTAGCGGGGCTGGTGTCTGTCTCTCTCCCAGCCCCTGGGCACCCTCCCACAGAGTCACATGTACGGTCTCTTTCCGGGACAGTACCCGGGATGCAAGGTAAGCACCAGCTTCCTTGTGCTTACTTAATAATCTGTGAGATCCCGGGACTCAGGGCAGCTGGTTGTTGTTTGTTAGTTGCCATGGAGTCAGCGCCAAGGCAGGCAACCCCATGCGTGTCAGAGCGCGGCTGCGCTCCCTGGGGTCTCAGTGGCTGAGCGGAAGTGGGTCACCGGGCCTGCCTTCCGGTGCCCCACCGGGTGCCTTTAAACATGCAGGCTTCTGATTGTCAGCAGAGCCGCTTACAAACCACCAGGGCCTCCGGAAACGAGTTAATCAGCCTCCCGGTGGCCCAGGCTGGCAGTGGTCCCATGTCACCTGGGAGTGGGGTGGCCCGCCATCCCCTCTCCCACCCACGTGGCGCTACGCCCGGCACCCGGCAGCCCTGTAAAGCGTCGTGTGGTCTGTGTTCTCTAGCGCAAGTGGAGGCCCCGTTCTACATGGAGTGGTGGTTCCTCCTGGTGGTGGCGCTGTCCAGCCTGATAGTCATCCTGCTGGTGGTCTTTGCCCTGGTTCTGCACGGACAGAAGAAGAAGTATAAGAACTGCAGCACAGGTGGGCTTCCCGCTTCCTGGCCCCTTGTCCAGACGTGGCCCCGGCACACGGAGCTGAAACGCTGTGTGTTTTCCCCCTGGGTCTGCCAGGCTGGCGTCTGCTTGTCCATCCCACCCGCCTGTCGGTGATAAAGTGGAAAGCACCGGCTTCTTTCTGGAGGCAGCCTGGGATAGCCAAACAGGAGCTGGAGACAGGAGAATGGGTTCTGCCCACAGATCAGCCTGTGTTCATGCACGTGGCTTCCACCCACGCTGTGGCTGAGCCCGAGACGGTGACTGGCCCTGGGGGCCATCTCACAGGGACAAGGACCACTCTCTGAGCCCAGCTCCATCCCTGGAGCTTCCGTCAACTGTCTGTCCTTTTGAGAGAGATGGACTTGATGAGTGGATTGCTTGGTGTCATCCTTCCAGTCATAGTCTTTGTGACTTCCACCAGATGATGGGGTGGGACTATCCAAATGTGAGGTGCTTGTGGGCCACCAAGGGGATTGGGTAGCTTGATAATAACGCAGATAAGGGGCATGGCACCCTTGTGGGGGTGGGACCACGGAAATGAGGTGAGCGGAACCCTACCGTGGGGCTGGTCAGTTTGACCATCCCACTGGGCTTCAGATGAACCCTCCCCAAGGCAGAAAGGGGGATCTCACTGCCATCGAGAAGGAAGAGCCAGGAGTTGGGGGCATCCTTGGACCTGAGATCCCTGCACTGAACCTCCTTGACTCAGGAGGCAGGAGACGCCTGTGACACATGGAGACCATCAGAAGCAGAGGTTGGGAAACAGCAGCAGCAGAGCCGAGAGACCCAGCAGGAGGCAGTGCAGTGGGCTGCCACCCACAGAGTGAGAAAGCGGAGCCCCTTCTGCAGGAGGCTCGCGGGCGGAGTGGGCTGCCCCGGGCACTTAGCGCAGAATGAACAGAGCTTTGTAGCACTTGCCCGAGCAGAGCAGAGGCCACCAGGCTGCAGGGCCAAAGGCTGAGGGCCAGAGAGAGGCCTGCCTGCAGGCACCACTGGGAAGTTGCTGTCCTAGTGGAGGAACTGTCCTGAGTCCTTTCTGATCCTGAATTGTAGCCTGTTATTTCCCTGGTGTGGTAGTTCGGTTTGTGTATCAGCTTGGCTGGAACTGGGTGAGTGGCCGGGCAGCTGGTGGTAGTTATTCCCCATGATGAGACTGGCAATCAGCTCCGTGGTGGGATCTACCACAAGCAGCTGAGTAGCTGCCTTTGGGACCATGGTCTGCTTCCTGTATTTAAGGAGAAGCTTTGAAAATGGTCTCTAGCCTATGGCACGCTTGGACCCCGCAGGTAGCTGTGTCATTGCTCAGCAGCCTGCCATGCTCTGCCGCCCTTGGGACTTACAGTGGACTTAAGCTAATGGCCTCCCTTGTGGTCTGGTAACATTGGACTGTGCCTTTTTACTTGTCAACCTTGGGGCTTCCAGCCTCAGCAGCCAGCAGTTGTCTGAGTGAAGAAACGCCTCTAGCTCCAGTGGGCCGGGAGCAGGAGGCAGAGCTGGACCCCAAGGTTGAGGGGCTTTCACCCCACCCCTAGAGCCTGGCACTTTGACTTGGACTTAAAGCCTCCAAACTGTGAGAGAGTTTGTTAAGGCCATCCCAACTGTGGTATATTCTTGTCAGAGCGGCACTTGGTAACTAGAACACCTAGTAAACCCCATTATCATGAGTCTGGTCTGCGAGTTCCGTGTGGCCACTGTGAGTCATGGGACCCAGCAGAGAAGCGGAGACTGCGTGGGAGGGACACTTGGCATCAGAGTTGGTGAAAAGACTGCAGGGGACCGCCTGTCTGACCTCCGCCTCGTGGGGATCCGCCGCCTCCTCCCTGTGATGTTAAGGAAGGCCAGACGCTGCCCCCACGCCGTTTCACAGGGGCCGTCACAGAGACAGACTACAGCCAACCAGGCCTGCCGACCCAGCCGTTGGGAGCCGTGGTCGCTGTGCTGAAGGGGTTAACAGAACAAGGCACATTTGCTCATGTGACAGGAAGCGGTTCACCCCTCCAAGAAAGGCGTGTTTTTTCCCTATGAACTCACTTCTATGAAGTATCCATACATCAGATTTCATTCCTGTGGGATTTAAGACGTACGACCAGCATCCCACCGAGTTAATGTTGTCGCAGGATCCTACGCTGGTCTGCAGACACCCTCCTTGGCCATCAGGAAAGCCGACTTGGAGAGACAGCCGGCCCACGGCTCCTCGACTCAGCCTCACCCCGGAATAGTCACTTAATATCGGGGTTGATGCCTAGACAAAAAAGAATAAAGTTACCTGTCTACCTGAATGCCCCCCTTGTTGCCCAGGAGACAGGCAGGACTTGAGCCTCTGGGGTCATGGCGTGCTTCTGAGCCCCTTCCTGCTTGTCCCCCGTTCTGCCAGCCCGGCCCCCGTGCCCCCGATCCTGTTCCCACCTGCTCACTTGCCTCCACCCTCAACTTCCTGCCCTTGGCAACTCGTCTTTCCTCAGCAGCTCTTTGTGTTCTGTTCGGTTTTCTTTTGCACACAGGGCATTAGAGGATGCCAGGCAAGTACCGAGACCCCAGGAGAGAGGACCCCTCAGGGTTCAGGGGTGTCAAAGCATTTGACGACTCTTGATCAAGCTCCTGGTTTGTGCTTAGGCCCACCCTAGAGGTGGGGGTACAGGGGGGAGCCTAACAGATACAGTCCATGCCCCGCAGAGGTCCAGCAGGGGCGGGGCCAGAAGGTAGGCAGACCCACCCCAATACGTTTCCATAACGACACACTGGTTGGTGCTGGCGTGTGGAGAACGGTGCAGGGGGAGGCTGGGCTCAGGGAGGAAGGAGGCGGGGACACTGCTCGGGAGGGTGGTGAGGATGTTCTCCCTGGCATGGGGACGTTGGAGCTGTGATGTGCAGGAAGGATGAGCAATCTCTGAGGACCTCCAGGGAAGAATGTCCCCCACAGATGCTCAGCCAGGAGGGCAGCCTGGAGGGGGAACCAGCTCAGATGTTCACAGAACAGCCAGGCTGTGCCACCCAGGAGGACACGGGGGACAGAGGTGTCATCAGGTACAGAGGAGCAGAAAGAGGATGGCATCGGAGAAGGGGGCAACACCAGAGAGCAGATGACGTCATAAGGATGACGTCAGACAGCAGATGACATCCTAAGGATGATGTCAGACAGCAGATGATGTCAGACAGTTGGTATCAGCTACATGATGTCAGGTAGGTGACATCACAGAGAGGACGGTACCCGAGAGAAGGTGACACCGGAGAGAAAATGACACTGGCGAGCAGATGGCATCAGGTGGTGTCAGAGAGAAGGTGCCATCAGAGCTGAGGACGTCAGATAGATGTTGGCGGGTAAACGGCGCCAGACAGCAGGTGGATAGCCAAGGACATCAGAGAGAAGGTGCCGTCAGAGAGACACTGCAGTCGGGTGGGTTGTGTCAGGTGACATCAGACAGCAGATGACATCAGCTGGGTGACGTAAGAGAGATGGGGCAGGTCAGAGCAGAAGTACGTGGACGGTCATGGGACGTTGGCTTCTGTGCTGAACCAAACAGAAAAGCCACTGCGGAGCCTGGCGCTCGGCCTGTTCCCTCGTGACTGTCTTCTTACCCGTTTGAGCTGCTACGATGTTTCGGAGTTTATTTTGGTTTTTATGACTACCTTCTACTTAATGTCTTATGCTCTGTTACCAATGTTTTTATTTGAATGTTTTAAAAGCACTTACTTGTCCTCATTTGGAGAAATGCTATGCATTCGGAGTCCTTTCTCACTGAGTGCCGGCAGGTCACGAATCTGGGTGGGAGGCAGACTACGCACTGCCGTGGTGGTGTGGGCACGTGGCCGCGCTCCCAGCTCAGCTCTCACTACAAGCAAGGCCTCCAGCCCCGGGCTCCACGCAGCACCGGCAGGTGGTCAGTGGGTGCGTCTGTAAAACCTCTGCCTTTGTGTCCTCGCTGCGGCCTAGGTAAGAACCTCTCCAACATGGAGGAGCCCGTGACCCTGGACAACGGTGGGTTCGCTGCTCTGGAGCTCAACAGCCGCCACCTGACCATGAAGGGCACCTTCTCCAAGAAGAACGGGACCAGGTAGGGCTGCGGTGCTGCACCTGGTGGCCTGACCCGCAGGGCTCGCACCGCCATGGGATCCCACTGGGGCCTTGGTGTATCACGTAGCTCACTGAGGGGCGGGAGTCTAACGGAGTCAAATCCGACGGTGGGTCTAGGAGGGGTGGGATCTGCGGGTGGTGGTGTCTGTGTGCTGTGAAGACGATTCCGACTCACGGTGACCCCACGTGACCGCGGAGAATTGTCCCATGGGGCTTTCTGGGCCGTCACCTGTATGGCTCCCCAGGCCTTTCTTCCGTGGGCAGCTGGCTGGGTTTGAACTGCTGACCTTGCATTAAAGGGTAAGCTCTTAACCACTGTGACAGGTTATATGGAACAAGCATGCAGGATCTTGGGGTGTAGAGAAGTGACCTCGAGGGACCCCCAGCTCCAGCCAGCCTCCTCTGTCACTGGCTGAGCACTGTGCACTTGAGGGTCACACTGGGCTCTGGTAGACCTGCCAGAGGTTCACCAGCCTGGTTACCACGGTGCGGGGCAGGGGCCGTGGTTCTTGTTATCTTCATCCCTTAATGAATTCCAAGAGGAGCCCTGATGGCACAATGATGAAAGTGCTCAGCTGCTAACTGAAAGGTCAGTGGTTCAAACCCACCAGCTACTCCACAGGAGAAAGATGTGGTGGTCTGAATCTGTGAAGACTGACAGCCTTGGAGACCCTGTGGGCAGTTCCACTCTGTCCTCTAGGGGCGCTGTGGGTCAGAATGGACTCCAGGCAGTGGGTGTGGTTTGGGCTTTGCTTCTGTGAAGATTGACAGCCTTGGAGACCCTGTGGGCAGTTCCACTCTGTCCTCTA